GAGAGAGAGAGAGAGAGAGAGAGAGAGAGAGAGAGAGAGAGAGAGAGCATCCTGAACCATTCTATCTGATTTACTTCCCAAGCAACTACTTGAAATTCCGTTTTAAATCTGAAGGAGCAAGAGTAGTCTTTAAACTGTCTTTATACAATTTCATGGCCACTCACCACCAGCCTTACCTGCATGGTGTTTTAATATAAAAATTGTACTATATTTACTTTTAAATCTAATTCTTTTATGCTTTTTAAAATACCTACTACCCTGAACATTTTCAAGAAATTGCACATAGAGTCTGTTAGCCAAAGAGCAGAGTTATGCTTTATTTTTATTGGCAGTTAATGTGGGACCTTAAATACCAGCTGTCTTAGGAACCACCAAATGATTGACATCAAACTGCAAAACTTGTAGCCTCTTCCCTGGTTGGAGAAACAGAATAAAACGAAGGCAAGCACTTTGTCCAGATTTGGGGATGGAAGGAAGAAGGTATGTGGTTGCCTGTTGAATAACGGCTTCCCTTTAAAGTATTTTATGTCAAATTTAACTGTCTTTACAAAATAAAAATAAAATAGAGAAATAAATAAATAAAATCTATCCCACATACACCTAAATACCCCAAAACGGGGTAGGGGTGACGGAGAGGGTACTCCTGGAGGCAAGAACTCTGAGACCAAGAAAAAAGGCGGGACAGATATTCCACCGCTAGCAAGGTTACCCCACCGCTGCTGCCACCACCTCATTCCCTGCCTTCCCTGCCTTCCCTGCCTCCCTGTGGAGTCGTGGAGGAAGCCGCGACCACAGCGCGCCTCTTAAGCTTTATCTCTAAGACAGTAGCGCCGCTCTCCGCCAGCCAAAGGACTCAGATCTTCAGCCTCTGCCACCAGTCACCTACCCGACCGGAGTCCCCAGTCACCCTTCTTCCAGCCTGCCTCACTAGCCTTATCTGCTGAGAGTCTGGGGCACCAGTCTCTCTGTCCCTGGTCCCTACACCAGCCCCGCCCCTCCGCTCCCAAGCTGTGATCCCCAAAGTGACCAGCCGCCTTCTCTCTGGCGATTCCCCCGGCTACCTACAGTGGACTGCCGAGTGCCTGGGATGCTGCCCAGGCCCGCGCCCACCGCACTACGCAAGCTCTCAGGCGGTGACTGTCTCCTCCTCCCCCCCTGTGGGCCCCTAGAGCTCGTTTGCTTGTCCTCAGCCCAGATGCCAGATCTGTTCCCTCCTCCAGCCCCCTTCAGCAGCCGTTTGCTTCCTGCAATGTGTTACTTTCTTTCTTTCTTTTCCGCCTTTCCTAGGCCCAATCAAAGGTGGCTCTGTTATTGAAATGCGAAGCCGTTTCCTCTCCAAACCCCTTGACTACTCAAGGCAGGAATCAATGGACCTATATACTCTGCCTCCCGTTATAAATAAATGTCTGTTTGTTCAGGAGGCGTTTTCCCGTGTGTTCCAGCATCTTCCCCAGTAGTTATTTTAAGTGTGTGTGTGTGTGTGTGTGTGTGTGTGTGTGTGTGTGCATGTGAGCGCGCGCCCTAGTCCTGTGACATCTGGTTCTAATCCTGAGTGTGGATCTATAACCCAACCCCACCCACCCAGACTCCCCCTTGCATTCCTCGCTCTATAAATAAACTCAGGTTCTTAGGCACTATCATCTAAGGACACAATAGCAGTTGTGCGTTAAAAAACATTTAATCCAACATTGATACTGAGTCCAGCAGCCAACAATTTGGGCAGAACAAGCAATTTGGGTAAAAGTTTGGTGCTTTGTTTATCCTACCTGTCTGTAGGGGAAAGACCTCTTCCATGCTTGGATACTAAAACTACAAGGTGACAAATTGTGTAGGGGAGTCAGTAGAGACTACAATTCATCCCACAGTTCCCTCACAGCATCTCCTGTGGCTATACCCCTGAGTAGACAGAGAAGAGGAGGTATGGTGTGGGTGGGGGCTTGTGGTTGGGCCTGCTGCTTTTCCTGAAGTCCAGAGAAGAATCCTCCGGATCTGAGCAGAGGGAGTCATCTAAGAGACTGCTGTTTTACAAGGTCTGGGCACAGAGCTGCCCCTCCCTTCCCCCCTGAAGTTTGCATGGAGTGCAGTTAGGTTGTAATTAGAGGATCTGGGAGGAGAAGTCTCCTGGTGACGCTTTGCTTTTCTTCTGCTCTTGGTGAGAAGTGCCTCCTTCATCCTCGGATCAGGACCTCTGCCATCCAGCACCACAAAGAGACATTCTGCACACAGGCGCTCGAACACACACACCCATACCCACACCCACACCGCACTCGCCCGGAGACAAACTTAAGGTCAGGAGAAGCATTAGCTTCACTTCATCTCCAACTCTCCGCTAAGAGGGACTCGAAGCTTCTGAACTGGAATTCAGGACAAGGTAAAACTTCTATCATTTCTTTTTGGTGGGGTTTGCCCCTCTTTCAGATATATCTCAGTGTCTTATATATTTCAGAACTTTGCACATATGATGTATGTACATGGTAAACAAATTTTATTATTTTCTTCAGTATTTAACATAGCACCTCCACTTTTTAAACTTTATTGTCAGGTAAAATATCATTGCAATAAACAGGTTCAGTCTAGACTTGAAGAAAGAATTAACTAAAGTTTTCCTAGCTTTTGCAACTGCTGCTATTAATCTGAGAGGCACATGGTTCCAAGTGGTGGCTTTTCCATCTGTATTTCAACAAGCAGTTTTATAGCAGCCGAGATGAGAGAAGGGTATTTTAGAGTGGAGGATGAATTGTGGAATGAGACTGTCCACCCCAGAGTTATGACTTCTGTCTTAGGGAATATATAGGTTTATGTGAAAAAGAAAGTTACTTCAGTCATAGCTAATACCTGTTAGATTAACAGCCCTTGAAACGTCATAGTGTGCCTAGGTCTTTCTGGGTAATTTTAAAATCAAGAACGGATAATTATGATGCATATTTTTTTTTGCAGAGAATGATGTCAATGGACAATATCAGTGTCCTAAAAAATATTTCAAGTTGTAGCTGTTAAGAACACTTTTTAAAACGTTGCCTAAAGGAGTTACTTGCATTTTGAAGCTACTCATTAATGAAAACAAACCTAAACTCCGAGGGTTAGATTAAATTGTTCTCTTCTGTTGAATATGCCTGTTGTGTCCAAGTAATACAGTCTGTTCATTTGAAAGTAAGTTGTTTTATTTTCATTTATCACTGGAAAAGTACACAAAGTAGCCAGTACATTTGGGGAGTTTGAGGGTGGAAAATGTTCCCGTAAGTGGTCCAGTGTGATGTCATGAAATCAAACATCCTGGCTGGCTGCTCACAACCTAATAGTTATTAAGAAATAAAGTCTGTGAATTAATCTCCCAGTAAATGTAATATTTATTCATTCCAAATGTAGTTTCTGGTAACCATTTCTATTTGATTATTTCAGTACGCTAAGTGTTGAGTAATTTATACACATTTTAATACTATAAAGTAGAAAGAACTATTATCTAATGAAAATATATCATCAGAGATCTGTTTATTTATCTATTTGAATGAGAATATTTTCATTATATTGAATAAAACAGAATGTTTGTCAAAGGACTCTTGACTAGTACGATTATATGTATATATGATATATGTTCATATATGATATGTAATATCATATATGAATATATATGAAAAGCCTCAGCTAAGTGATGAAATTATTTTAGTTCCTTTTTACTTTTAGTGGCTTCTTTAGTAAACCGTAAATTGCTTAGAAATAGAAAAAAATAAATAATAAGTAAATTTTCTGAAGGCTAATTGAAGGATCAGAAACAAGCCAACAATCTTAAAAGGCCAGTGGTCCATGGAAGGAACCCACCCAGAGACCAGTATTCCAAACAGGAGAGCCCAGTGGGCCCTGGTTTTCTGTGAGAGGGGGAACATGGTGTTCTTATGAAGTGAGCCATTTACTTCCAACAAGGCTCTGTCTCTGAGAGGAATGACTGACACTAATTTAGAAGTGCTGAAGAAACCTTCACAGAGAAGAATCGATCCATTATGTCCCTAGCGGTTTCAGTTCATTTTCCTTCCTTTGGGAGCAAGAAACACATCCAGTATAAATACATCCAGAGTATACAGAAAAATACCTTATGGTGGATAGTTTTCAGAACAGTCCTCTCTTTCAGCGTTTTGGGTGTGGAGTACTGGTATTTCCTTAAAAAGACATTGGACTGTCTTCATCTTCATAAAGATGAACACAGATCATATTCAGGAGATGATTCCCTTCAAAAAATACCAGTTTTCATTTCCTTTTATCCCAGACGAACATTTTTCCAGATTACAGTTTGAAGATTAATGGTATCCCACCAATTAAAATTCCAGTAGCAGCCAAGGGCAAATTTGGAAACATTTTTTTTTACATCATAGTCTTCTGTTGCTTCCAATTAATTTCTCAACTACCTGCAGTCATTACTACTAACCACATCACTTAGCCTATGTCATTTAAATTTACTTACCCTGTCATTCAAAAAGTAACAAAATGTTTGGGGAAGAAAAGAGGCAAAAAACAGAATATGACTATGCTGGAGATTTTAATCAATATTGTCTGAGCAAGATTAGAGGAAACAGCTGATTAAACAAATATTAGATGTAGCGTGGGTATGTTGGTATAAATTAATAACACAGCTCTTCATCTACTGTATGAATGGGCGGGACTGAAATTTAGGGTGAAGCATGGTCCCTTATCGCCACCTAGTGGATGTATATAGAAGGCTCTCTTAACAGCCTCTAAAAATTCACTGGTTTGGGTGTCAATTCCATTTGTTTGGTTGATACATTTTACCCTTAACTGAATGACAGATTGTGGAGTGGATGCTAAGAATAAAAATCAAAACAAGTGAAATTTTTATGAAGATTACAAGTCAAGACCTCTCTGAACAGTTTATTGAATTCCCAGGGGCTGCATTTGCTTATTAACTGTCAGCTTTTTGTCTTATAGAGAAGATAGTTTAATTACACAACTCACATCTAATGTAAAGAGATATCATCATATAGTTCAAGGAAAGGTAGAAAGAACACTGTCCTAAATTAGTTTCTCAAATAGAAACACATTTTTGTATATTTAGTTGTTACTAAGTCTGTCTGGTTAGGGAATTGCTAGTTTAAAGGATTAAGAGAGACACCACAGTGTTTTACTGCATAATCTTTATGTTTTTGAATAGATGGACAAGGGTAGCCAATGTAGCTTTTAGGTATAAGGTATATTTTATGATATTAATTACTATAGAGGACAAGTTTATCCATCCTTATTGGTCACATGAAATTTTAAAACAGAGACTTTGCTTTTGTGAAGTTCACATGACAGAAAAACCTTCCTTGACAAGTGTATTTGTATGCAGAAACAATGTTTTACAGAGAAAGTAGGCTATCATTGGAAGTTCATTCTGTATACTCCTAATTCGAAACATCTTTTCCCTAAGAGATATATGAATCACTACTCCCACAGATTCTGTGCAAGATATACAACCTAATGGTGGATGGAAATTAATAAAGATGAGTTGTAAAGTCCAATTGAAAAGTTTCGTGCCTCATTAGAAAAATCTGATGACTGTGTCACCTGCTAAGCCGCTAAGATGCATAGTCAGGCCTGCCATCATGAAACAAGAACCCTCCTGTTTAGGAGTTATGGCTTTGGGTTTCCTGTTTTTCCTTGTTTGGTCCTGGGACCCACACAGTGACAAAACCACCCACTCACCAAGTCCTCCTTCATGAATGTCATCAAACTGGAACTAAGTTGAACAGAGGTGAATAGAGAATCAGGGCCCTCACTCATGTAAAGAAGAGAGATGTGTTACCCTTGCCAGCAATGAGTCTTTATCCATAAGACAAAAATAATGTCAATACTGTATCTGGCCACCATATCCTTTATTTACTCAGTGTGAGAGTCAGGTGCCCTGAGTGTAGAAGAAGTTCCATCAGGGATTACAAAGCTGTTACAGTTCTGAAGTCTACGGGTGCCTTCAGGATGCTGGGCAGACAATCCTATGAGGGAATTTGGAGCAACTCTGATGTGGTATGATGTGGCTGGTTTGTGTGTTCAGAATTCTGGGTGATGCCTTAACTCACTCAAGGGGATTGGGAAGGTGAGTTGTAGAATTAAGATTCTTACCTACGTTTCCCAAAGAAAGCCAAGGTTTTCCATTTTGTTTTTGTTTGTTTTGGGAGGTTTTTTGAATGCCAAATGACACCGAACCTCTTTTAAGATCTGTTCGTTTGTTTGCTTGATTGTTTGCTTGCTTGCTTTTGTCTCTCTATGACACTGGAAATTAATCTCTGGCTTTTACTCATGCTAGGCAAGCACATCGCTAGACCAGGAGGCTCTTTATAAAATAAAACAAAAGCCCATAGGATAAAAATAAATCAGAAAAAGGTTTGACTCTGATCCATCAGGGTAACAAAATCATCCCTTCTACCTGCTAGTTCTAGAATCCTGAAGCAAATTCAATGTTTTTTTGGTTGGTTGTTAAATTCTGAGTCCTGGAAACACCAACTGAATTAAATCATTTCTACAATCTTGTAAGTGCTCTTAGATCTCAGTCTTCATGCTATACACATGACCCTTTCTTGTTCTTGCTTTGAGGATCACCTCTTTCAAGCATCCATCTTTCCAGTCAGAAAAATGTCACTGAGCCCTAGCTATATCAGGCATTGTAGCAATGGTATACACTGTAATTCTTCCCCACACTTTACATTAGGAAAAATCCATTATAAAATAATCAGAATGTGAAAATTGATGATACTGGGCTTAAAGCATTACAGAATCCTGAAGTATATTTTGAGTAATAGAAACAAGCCAAAAGATCTAGATACCTTCTGGCGAAGAACCAGTTTTGAAGCTGTATCTTTAAAAGTCATTTCCATTTCAACTAGCTGGGCTGTGGTGCTCTGTAGTGTAGACAAAGTTAGGTCTAAGAAGATAGCCATGACACCCCGAACCCCAGAAGGCCTAGAGTTCTGACAATAAGTTGTTCAGACTAACAGGAAATGCAAACTTGCATCTGTGTACCTGCGCTGTTCTCTAGTTTATCCCTAAAATTCAGACTGCAAGGAAGAGTTAGTACTTACGGTTTGCACCAGGCAAGTCTCATGCTAGGTGCTATACAGTAATTAGTGCAAGGCATTCTCAGATTAGTAGAGAAGGCAGGTGACACATGTCATGAATCACAACTCAGATCTGCCAAAGAAGTGGGATTTGCCTTTCCCCATCTCCTATGTCTCCTTTCTTTGCAAGCATCCAAACTTTCCAACCCCTGGTAGACAGTTGAGATAAACACTTTCCCACTCCCAGGGGATCAGTTGCTTTATCTAGTTTATTGACTTCTTCACTACATCTAAGAATGAATGAGTTCTCTTCACGCTTCTGCTTCTACATTTC